TCCCTCCAACAACAAATACAATGTGGAGTGACTAAAATGGCTGGCATCATACTAGGAATATGTAATGAGGTATCTACCCTGCCTGCACCGGTTGCACTGGCCACGCCCATTGAGATGTGAAAACAGGTGCAGGTGTGACCTGGGGGAACTAGATTTGGGGTCTAGGACCCCAGCGTTCTCTCTTGCTTCTTGGTCAGAGAGAGAGAGAGAGAGAGAGAGAGTTTCTGGGGGCATGCTTGGGACAGAAACCTGCTGGCGGTCATCTGTTTCTGGTGTAAGTGATTTTTCCCTGAATAAACATCGATCAGCCTATTTGTTTTCCCAGATTCTTGTTTATCCATGGTATCTGATATCAGAATGACTTTTTATGAGTGTGATCTCCCTTGGGAAAATATGTGATAGAACCTTTGCGATCCTATGCTGAATTAAAAATGGACTTGAAGTATCCTATGCAAGCTCAACAGATGTCAGCTAACATCATAGAAGCACCAGGAGGACATGGGTTCTGTTCCTTTCCATCTGCTATTATAGGGAATACAAAATGAAAATAAGCTACTGATCTCCAGGGGAAATTGGAGAGTCTCTATATGGCTGATCACAGCAGTCTACTCGTACAGGCTCAAAGTCTCTGGAGAATGCAGGTGTGTGGGCAGAAGATAATACTCTTGGTCAGTTCATGAGTCTGGTGGCAGATTTTCAGGATCAGTGTCTGTTTGTCATTCATTGGTCACTCATAGGCGTATTTAAAAAACAAACATTGACATGTCCAAATATAGATTCAGTCTGTGTATGTTTTTGTTTATGAAATCATATGTTGATTTTTATTTACCAAGACTGATTGTGACTTATAGTACCAGAGATGTCTCTGCCATTGTCACTATGGTTAGATCCTGAGATATTGCTATGAAAGTTGTAGAGCTTGTCATTGTTTGTGACTGACAGGGGCCAATTTTTCTTGTCTTTAAGTGCTACTTCAGACTTGTTGAAGCCCTCAGAGATCTGGTCCTTACCTGCACTTCCCAGGTTTCTTCATCACACTCTGATACCTACTGGGCTTGGGTTTGCCCCAGAGAAGATGCTGTACTCCTGGGAGAATGCGGTTACCATGGAGTCACAGAAGACAGGTCATCTTTCTTCACCCCTAGAAACCCATCCAAGGAAGAGCTGTCCCCAAGACTGACTTCTGTGTTAGTAGAAGTGACAGCCACATATGCTGTGATGACTACACTGAGGGACACCATAGTCAGGCACAAAACCCCTGCTGTGGTCTGAGGAAGAGCATCAGAGCTCATCTCCAGCAGGACTCACATAGCACACTGGAACTCAGACAGCCCAGGAGCAGGTGGAGAGGATGGCTAAACATTTGTCCCCTTTGGGATCTTGAGCTTCCTCCAAATATAACAGTTTCTGTTACAAAACCAACGAAGCAAAATTCTACATATATACCTCTCCAAAGAGAAAGCAGTTATAGACATACATGTTTTCCTTTGTATGTACACATGCTCGATGTTACCCATGCCATTTGTCATTTAGAGGAGCAGGAAAAATCCAGCCATTGTCACAGGTTGAGATACTGAGTACTTTTGAAGGCACATGTTGATTTCGTTCTGGCCAGAAAAGGCCCATCAAAGAGAATTCTCTGTTTTAGTCTTTGGGATCCAGATAGGAACCCACAGGCAATCTAGGCTCAGTGACTAAAATTCCAAAATAATTTCAAATCTGACATAGCTCAGTCTATATATTTGTTTACTTCAAACCCAGAGATGATCTGGAGCACTTCTCTGCCAATATTATTCTGTTTTTCTTCATTTTTTTTTTACTCGACAGTTTTATGAATTCATGGAGTTAAATTTAGTCACTTTCATGCTCACTCTCCTTTGCCATCCTGTCCCTGTCCTGCGAAAGACTTCTTTTCCTCAGCGTGTCTAGGTCTCTTTTTATTTGTGACCATTTGAATCTAATTAGACTTCATGGCTGAGTATGTCAACTTGTCACCTAGCTATACCAAGTTATCCCTGAGGTTAGCTATACCACTGAGAAAACTGGTGTCCCATTTCCCAACAGCTATTATTGGCCATTGATCTTTCAGAAGCCTCATGGCTCTGTCTCTATTTATGATGATGGAATATTCCAGGGTATCTGTTAAAATAAATTTATAACATTAATTAGCAGAAATACAAGTAAACATATAGAAATAAACCTGAGGTTTGCAGACACATATATACAGCCATAACATCCATAAAGAGGTCATTGTGTCACTATTCAGGGAAATACAGACAACATTGATGTACTAAAAGACTAAAGGGCCATTGTACCATTCCTTATTGGGACACATACACAATAAAAAAAACCCAGGGTAGGTATAGAGATGTGGATTATGGTAAGGACAGAGATAACAGTTGTCACCCACACAGGTGCGAACAAAGCTCTGCTACCCCTGAAGACACAACCCTGCATTACACTGCAGCAGACACAATGAGTTGTTTCCCTGTGTGTTCAGAAACAACCTCAATGTGAGGATGCTCAGCACCAGCAGGGGGAGCTGTAGACCCAAATTTCACCTGGAAAGAAAATGCAGTGGGTGAGAGAAACATCTGGAGAGTGGGGAAGTCCTCTGAGACCCTAGGGTTTCCTGTCCTGAACTCAAATAACTGCAGCAAAGATGTAATACATGTTCGTTACTGTGCCAAGACTCCAAACTTAGTAGAGTAGAAGTTCTTTGTTCAGTAATATTGCACTTATGCTTTGGTCATTACATGGGAACCTTATTGGCAGGACAAGCATCTTTTGCACAGTCACATAAGATTTCAACATGAGGTGTCAGACACCCAGTCATCATCCTCACAACCAATGCAGCATGATCTGTAATTATATCTGTAGTTGCTGTCCCCTGGGTGAGGGGTTTCTTCAGCTGGACTATCGGTCTATGACTTGGGATCTCAGACTTGATGTTCTAGCCATACTGTTAATCCCAGGTAGCTCTGCTGTGGGGAACCTGGTCACAAGGCGTTCTGCACTGCCCTGAGAGCTCTCAGCACAGGGAAGGAGAGAGGAGGAGCTTGGGATAATCACACATTCTGTCCTTCACTGCATTTACAATGCCAACTCTCATTTTTATCTGTCCCCCCTTTTTTTTTTCAAAAAAGAAAGGCTTTTAGTCAAATTGGTAAAAACCAAGCGTTATATATGATTTCTGTGATTTGGGAAAAGAGTTTAGAAGAAAGTACATTAAATCCAGACCATCCCCATTCACACTCAGTTTCCCTATGGTAGAGCAGATGAGACATCCTCATACCTACACCACTCCACACTCCCTCACACATGAGTTTTGACAATGTTTCATGTGACATCCTGATGCACGGGTTACCTCCATCTGTTCACAGCACTCTGGAGCTCAGCTGGGATCAGCTTCATAAAGCAGTTAGGTGAAGTGTGGTGAGGGGATGAATTATTCTGCTCCAAGTTATAGTCAATTTATTTTCTCATTTTGAGCACTCATTGACAGGGAACTTAGCATCTACACTTATATAATGTCTTGGATTAAATTTATGTACTTTAATTTTTGCACTGCACAGTGCACACCTGTATGTACTTCTTTAGGCTCAGACCTAGAAGTATTCAGTGCACATCTGAGAGATTCAGGGAAAATGCCTGTGTCTACTGCAGCACATATCACAGACTTGAGACACAACATCACATTTTCATGCCCTCCAATGGGCAAAACATCTGAAATATAGCATCTGTGTTCCTGGCTAGAAATGAAGTTCTCTCTTCAGGAGAGTCAGAAACCAGCATTCCTTCCATCTCTGGCCTTTGGGCGCCTCTGTCCAAACGTGGCAACTTCATCTCTGTATAATCAAGATCTTTTCCATGCTGTGTACCTTTACTATTGCCCGCCCTTGATGAGGATGTGTGTGATGAACTTTTCATTTTATAGAGGCAATGCCATATATCCTCTTGTTTCAAGACACACAATTTAATAACGGACTAAAAATCCCTGTAACATTGAATCTCCCTGGAAAAGGAACCAAGTGTTACTGCAGCTCTTATTCCTCATCCTACCACAAAGGTTCAGTGCTTCAGCTCACACTCAGCACTGTGGGCTCAGTATCTTTTTGCAGCGTTACTACAACCTTGTGGTAAGTTCATATTCATGGTTTAGGTACATCTTGGTAGCTTTATCTTTTAAAACTTTGAATAAGAAGATGTTGTGTTTGTAGAAACAAACAATATTTGAAGTAGCATTCTCTAAAGAAACCCGAGTTTACTTGAGCTACTTTCCAAGTTTTCAGTCATTCATACTTCAAAGTCACAGTGAAAGTTGTCCAAAGACAAGCAAACCATTTTCTTTCTTGTTCCTAAAAACCATCTACAGTCACACGAAAAGAGCAGAAGGCATTGTGTTTAACATCGCTGAACATGTGTGGGAAATCCCTAGGCCCTGTGCACTGTGACTTTCATCCTTCTCTGCTCCTCTTCCCCTCCTCCAGGATGCTCAGCATCTGAGAGACCTGAGCTAACAGACTGTGTCTTTACCTACAGTTTATGTTTCTGTTGCTGCTGTTTTTTTTGAAGGTTTCAGAACTAGAGGGCAGTATAAACACGAAGGTACTAATGTTGAATAAATATAATTATCAAATATGTGAGGCAGGAAAGTGACAGTCAATGAAATATTAATCTCTTCCATGCAATTATAGACTGTGTAACTGCCAGCCTGCAAATAGCAACAATCTCCCTTGCTGCCTTCACACAGTACTCATCAGATGTGTTGGATACTGAGAACATGGGCTTTCTCATGTGGGCTCCTTTCTATGGTGAGCAGAGGTAAACCTCCCCTAAGCATCCTGTGTGCCTCATCATAGACTGGATCCCCTGAGACCCAGGATTTAAGTCCTCCATCAGAGTCAGCTCCTGGTGAGGGAATGCAAATCATGCCAGGCTCCACCCATGCTTAGGTTGAAAACCCAAGGCTGGGCCTGAGCACTCACTGGTGTGCAGCCATGGCCCTGTTTGCTTCCTCAGTCCTGCTGCTGATCATGCCTACATGTGAGTGCCAAGGATTCCTACTGGGTGAACTCCCATAATTCACTCTGTGCCAACCTTACCTTCTACTCTTTCTTCTCCACAGGTGTCCTGTCCCAGGTTACCCTGAAGGAGTCTGGCCCTGGGCTGTTGAGGCCCTCCCAGGACCTCAGTCTGACCTGCTCTTTCTCTGGGTTTTCACTGAGCACTTCTGGTATGGGTGTGGGCTGGATCCGCCAGCTCTCAGGGAAGGGTCTGGAATGGATAGCAAACATTTGGTGGGATGATGATAAGTATTACAACCCATCCCTGAAGAGCCGGATCACGATCTCCAAGGACACCTCTAACAACCAGGTTTTCCTCAAGATCGCCAGTGTAAACACTGCAGATACTGCCACATACTACTGTGCTCGGAGAGCACAGAGATACAGCCTGGGCTGAGAGCTGTACAGTTTTTCAGGCTGGTTCTCAGCTCTGTGTCTTTCTACAATTCATGTGGTTAAGGTGGGCACCCCTTTCCTGCCAGCCTCTGGGATTTCCTCTTCACTCTGAGTTTCACATGCCTGGCTTCCTGATAAACAAAGGAGGCCCCCTTTAAAAATCCTTCAACAATGAGAATCTGTCTGTTTTGTAAAAATTAAGCGTGCCTGTTACCTATTGCTGTTGTTCTAATCAGTCTTTGGCCAGAACAGGGGATTCCAAATTTTTGTACCATTCACCTTCAGTAAACCAGTGGATATGAGGAAGATTGAAATTTCTGGACAAGCTTTTATCAATTGAGGCATTGGCCAAAGTGACTCCATGGAAACAAACGATATCTCAGGCTGTGGACAAGGCAATTGGGTGCTCTCCACAAACCGATGGCAACATCACATTGCTGAAGACAACACTTACATGTCTCAGTGAACATGGATAACTTGAGTTGGTGACTAACTGCAGGCCTCAGCCCTAGTAACCCCTGTTCATAGCAGTAGAAGGTACTTGGCATGCTCTCAGAGGAGAGTCAGCCTAACTACATACTGTGACCTAAAACCGTGACCTGAGGGTGAGATTGTATTTTAAGTGAATTTCATGAATGTTACCAAATGCCTGAAACTTCTGGAAAATTTCAGAATCTGAGACAAACTTGTTCATGGACTTAAGGAAAAGTAATAGTTCTATTAAAACATGGTTTTCAACCTGTGGGGCACGGCCACATTTGGGATTGGAGTAAAAAAAAAAAACCTTTTCACAGGGATCTAGGACACTTTCACGGGGGGGGGGGCACAAATCAGTTATCCTGGATGTTACATATTTATGATTCATAGTGGAAAAGTTACTTTTATGAAGTAGCACCAAAATAATTTTAATTTCATGGTCAAACTGCTTGGGTCCAGACAGATCAATCTACACCTCAATATACAGCATATTTTAGGGTGTATTTGTGTGTTTGTGTGCCTACAGATTACACAGGTGCATGCACATGGAAAAACGTGAATACATATATATATATATATATATATATATATATATATATATATATATAATTTGCTGGTTCCACTGACACCTTGGAGCCGGCCGTGGATTATTCAGCTATAGCTGTCATTCACTAAGCTTATAGCAAGTACAGCAAAGTCTTTGACAATCACTAGCCATGACATTCCATGAATTAGAGGATGCTGCGCTTGGGTAAGTTATATCAATAGAGAAGGCAGTCATCATTTTTACCCTGAAAGATTGATGAAAATGGTATGAACAAATGCTTATAAGTCATTACAAAGCAGTGTACTTCGCACGCGTGTTATAAATGATAAATTAGCAAACAGATTGAACCAAAGTCTAAATTTTTTCAAATTCCTGTCACTTCTCAAATGTGAAAATACTTTTCCGTAGTTGGGCACCAGATCTGGATGTACCACATTTGTTCATATTCCAGGTGTTTTGAGTCTTCTGTCTCAAGTGCAGCTGGAGGTTGGAAAATTGCGTTATAAATTATGGGTTCCATTCATCACTTGTGTTTCTCTGGTCGCTCCTTCATTACCAGCGTTCACTGCAAAAGGTACATATAACAGCCCCCAGAGAAAGGACTGTGGTCCATGGAGATAGCCTTTGAGCCACAACTACCATCCATCCTTGAAATCTCTACCCACCATCACCAGGTACATTACCAGGAAGATAAGTTAGAGTCATAGTGAGATTGTGTGTGAGAATTTATACAAGCCAATTCTCAGAACCAGCAGGGAGCACTGTGGATCCATCAATCTCTAATAAGTAAAGAGCAGCAGAAGCAGGTAATGATGTACACTGGGGGGATTTCAACAGCCTCTGTGCATTTCATTGCCAATCTCAGTATATTCAAAGACCATGCTGTAGCTGACTTGTGAGAACTCCATGCCAGAACCCTGGAGAGGTTATTTTTAAATAAAATCCATAGTGAATTCACCAAGATCCAGAATGGATTCATACAGCTGCTGGATAGGGTACTAGTTCATGAGAGAGTTAAGAGTAAGTGAGCATCAGGACCCTGAACAATATTTTGGGAAAAGTGTCCCAGGAGTTCCCAGCTGACACCAGAGATGTGTACATTCCTGCCGATCATTGTGTGGGATGGACAGCAGCCTCCATAGCTCCGTGTGAGTTTCTGATGGGGACCAGAATGGTCAATGAAACTCCATAGCATGACAAGTATGGTTGATCATATTTGTGACCCTGGAACCCATGAAGTGTAAGTCACTTTAAGGAACATGGATGTGGTGACTGGATCCTCTATGGGATGGAGCTCTGTGCACACCTGTGCCAGGATGCAGCAGGGAATTCATTTATCCAGACCCAGGACCTGTCATCTCCAGGCTCCATGACAGAGCTTGCTATATAGCAGGAAGACATGCAAATGGGCCCTCTATCTTCTCATGAAAAGCAGCCCAGCCCTGACCTTGCAGCTCAGGCAGAACAGGTCAGCTGTGGATCCCAGGACTTTACTTAGGGATCAGCATGGAGTTGGGACTGAGCTGGATCTTCCTTGCTGCTCTTTTGAAAGGTAATTATGGAGAGAAGTAGATGCTGACTGTGTGAGTGGACATGAACATGAGAGACAATGGACATGTGCCATGGTTTCTTGACCAGGATTTTCTGTGTTTGCAGGTGTCCAGTGTGAGGTGCACCTGGTGGAGTCTGGGGGTAGCCTGGTGCAGCCTGGGAGGTCCCTGATACTCTCCTGCACAGCCTCTGGGTTCACCTTTAGTGACTACTGGATGAACTGGATGCGCCAAGCTCCCGGCAAGAGGCTGGAGTGGGTTGGAGAAATTAATAAAGATAGCAGTAACACGGACTATCCACCATCCTTTAAGGATCGATTCACCATCTCCAGAGAGAATACCAAGAACACTGTCTACCTGCAAATGAACAGTGTGAAGTTTGAGGACACAGCCATGTATTACTGTGTGAGATCCACTGTAAGGGGAACTCAATGTGAACCCTGACATAAACCTCACTGTGAGGCTGCTCAAGGCCACCAGAGGGCAGACAGCACACACAGAACACATCCCTCCCAGGAGATTGTAAAGGCATAAACTGCACACTCTTCACAGCAGCTTAGCTCCTTTCATCTTACAGTTCCCAGAAACTCTCTCTAAATATTTGTGCTGTTTGTGACGGTTGTCATCAAAACATGTCATATTTGTGCTGTTTTTTAAGAATAGGAGACAAAGTCTCAGATGAACAAAATGCAAACTTACAGCCATGAGGGTGAAAACATCTCCATCTACATCACTGAAACCACAGGAGGAAGTTCATGTGTATTCTTGTCTTTTGTCTCAGATTCAAGCAGATCCTTGGTCAGATTTCTTTATTAGAGTAGCACTTATATTTAGGGGAAAGTCAAGGGGAAGAGGTGGCCCAAATATGGGCACATAAACCCTACCAAGACTCAAAACTCCTCTTCTCTCCCTGATAAAGGTGCACATCAGGTTCATGAGGAACCCTGCTGTGCTTTTCGCTAATTCATTTTGTTTCTCCATGAATGTCATCTCTTATCATCATGGGATTTGTGTAAACTGATGCTTCAGTAAAGTTAATCATGTGTCTGTATGGAGATGGTCTTCCAACGATGGTTTATTGTCTTCTACAGGACCTGAATATGATATTACATAACCAGGGAGATATTGAACATATGCATCTGATCACATGCTAATGTTCATGAGGAGTGACATCTACTCACCTAGAAAATCTCCCACATACACAAGAGGCCATTTAATCTAAATCTAACAGGGGTCACTTTGCTTCTGTGGGTGTCAGCTTAGCAGTGGTAGTCCCAGCTCATTTCTCTAAGAGCCACTGAGATTTCAGCTTTATTTTCTTGTAAGATCCCCTCACTAAGTCTATCTTAGTAACTTATGAATAGCTGCGATAAAACACCATGACCAAAGATGACCAAGGAAACATGTAAAGAAAGAAAAAAAAAGACTTTGTTGGGCTTATAGTATCCTACATTAGATTTTAAGACTTGCAAATCAAGGCATAGTGACTGGACCAGAAGTTGATGGCTCATAGCTAGATCCATAAGCAGGCAGCAGAGAGGGTCACTGAAAATGCCATGAAACTGTAGAGATTCTAAGCCTTCCCCCTTTGACTCACACTTTGCAACAAGACCACACCTACTATTACTTCCCAAAGTGTTCCTCCATCTGATTATGAAGTATTCATCAAAGGAGCCATTGGGGGACCTTCTAATCCAAACTACCACAGCCCCAATCACTGAAAGAAATGCAGGATTGGCTGTTAGTAATGTACAAGGAATATGGCGGTTGGAGAAGAAGTTGACAGTTCTGTCAGGGAGAGCAGGAAATGGCAGATTCCATTAACTGAGACCAGGAAGGTTGGGTGGACTTGCTCTTGTTCATGAAGAGTGGTTTTATACCAGATGCCATGTTCCCTGTCTTATATTAAAAATTCCCACAAGAATCTACTGAATGAAAACTGGAAGGTGATATTTCATGATGAGGTCATACCTCAGGGCTCCGCAGTTGGCAGCAGAGATCAACCGGCTGCCCCAAAGTTCTGTTTCATACTTGCTGTGTTTAGGAAGAACACCATTAAATCAGTAGCCCTATTACATACAGATGACAAAGGGGCTGAGAAAGAATTCAGAATCACCCTTTTCAATAGCCACAAACAACATAAAGTATCTTGGAGTAACGCTTACCAAACAAGTGAAAGACATATATAGTAAGAACTTTGTGTCCTTAATGAAAGAAATTAAAGAAGATACCAGAAAATGGAAAATCTCCCATGCTCTTGGATGGGTAGTATAAAATATAGTAAAAAATGCAATCTTACCAAAAGCAATCTACAGATTCAATTCAATCCCCATTAAAATCCCAGCACAATTCTTCACTGACCTTGAAAGGATAATACTCAACTTTATATAGATAAACAAAAGACCCAGGATATCTGAAACAACCCTGTACAATAAAGGTACTTCAGGAGGCATCACCATCCCCGACTTTAAGCTCTACTACAGAGCTATAGTCTTGAAAACAGCCTGGTATTGGCACAAAAATAGACAAGTAGACCAATGGAATCAAATTGAAAATCCTGATATTAACCCACCCACCTACGAACACCTGATTTTTGACAAAACAGCTAAAAGTATACAATGGGAAGAGGAAAGCATCTTTAACAAATTGTGCTGGCACAACTGGATGAGGGTGTGTAGAAGACTGCAGATAGACCCATGTCTATCACCCGCACAAAACTCAAGACCAAATGGATCAAAGACCTCAACATCAATCCAGCCACACTGAACTTCTTAGAAGAGAAAGTGGGAGGGACCCTTGAACAAATTGGTATAGGAGCCTGCTTCCTGAACATAATTCCATAAGCGCAGACACTGAAATCAACAATTACTAAATGGGACCTCCTCAAACTGAGAAGCTTTTGTAAGGCAAAGGACACTTGACCTTTGGTTGACAAGACCAAACAGCAGGCCACGACTGAGAAAACATCTTCACCAATCCTACATCTGACAGAGGGCTGATCTGCAAAATATACAAAGAACTCAAGAAACTAGTCAACAAAACACCAAATAACCCTATTAAAAATGGGGTACAGAACTGAAGAGAGAATTCTGAATAGAGGAAATAAAAAATGCTGAAAGACTCTTAAGAAAGTGCTCAACATCCTTAGCTATCAGGGAAATACAAGTCAAAACAACTCTGAGATACTCCTACCAGAATGGCTAAAATTAGGAACACCAATCACAACTCATGCTGGAGAGGATGTGGAGAAAGGGGAACACTCCTCCATTGCTGGTGGGAGTGCAAACTTTTACAGCCATTTTTGAGATCAGTATATGCAGTTAATCTGGAAAATGGAATGAATATTTCACAGGACCAGGTACTCCCTCTCTTAGGCATATACCCAAATGATCCATATCTGTGCAACAAAGACATCTGTTCAACTATTTTCATAGTAGCATTATCTGTAATAGCAAGAACCTGGAAGCAACCTACATGCCCCTCAACTGAAGAATGGTCAAAGAAGATGGGGCACACTTACACAATTTCATACTACTATGCAGAAAAAAAAATGGGAGAGAGAACCAAGGGAACCTTGAAATTTGCAGGCAATGGATGGAACTTGAAGAAACCATCTTGAATGAGGTAACCTAGTCACAAAAATAGGAACATGGTTTGTACTCACTCATATATGAATTTTAGAACTAGAGCAAAGGATCACCAATTCACACCACCATAACTAGGATACAAGGAGGAATCTCAAGAGATTCATGTAAGGTCCCTCACAGAAGGAGAAAGGAACAAGATCTCTTGAGCATATTGGGAGTCGGGGGCAGTGAGTATAGAGGAGGCTAGGAGAAAGAGAAGGGGAGGAGAGGAGAGCAAGTGGGATTAGGAAGATTGAGGCAGGGCAGGAATACATGAGAAAGAGAGAGAGAGAGAGAGAGAGAGAGAGAGAGAGAGATTGAGAGATAGAGGTCATAAAGAGGGAGCCATTATAGGTTTGAAGAGAAAACTGACTGTAGAGAAATTTCCAGAGACCTACAAGGATGACTGCAACTAACAATCTGAGCAACAGTGGAATGGCTACCATAAATGCTCTTCCCTGATAATGAAACTGATGACTAATTTATCTACCATCGTAGAGCCCTCATCTATTAGGCAATGGAAACAGAAGCAGGCAGCCACAGCTAAACACTGAGCCGAATTGTAATCCAGATGCAGAGAGGGAGGCCAAGACCAGGCTACAGAAACCCACAGAGGCAGCTGTCCTGAACAAGGAGGAGATAATTGGTCCACAGACTGATAGCTGGGAATCCATCATTGGACCTTCTCAGACCCCCTGAAAATGGGTCTCAGTTAGAAGGCCTGGGCAGTCTAAGGGACCTCTGACAGTTGAACCAGGATATATCCCCAGTGCCCAAAAGGACTTTGGGAGCACATCCCCCATGGAGGCAGGAGGGAGGGCCTATTTCCTACTCCAAATGACCTGACAGATTTTGTTGACCTCTCCTGGAAGGCATCACCCTCCCTGTTGAGTGGAGTGGATATGATGGGAGGGTGGTCAGATGGCATAGGATGGTGGGAGAGAGGGAGGGAGGGAGAGTAAACTGGGATTGATATGTAAAATAAGAAAAATAAATAAATAAAAATACAGCGTCTGTCTTCATGCACCTGGATTACCTTACATGGTGTAACCCACTCAGGTCCATTCAGTTTTACACAGCGTGATCCTCATCTGTAGATCACCAGTTTCCAAATTCTCTTTGACATCCTTATTTTGTCAGTTACTTCTCCTTCAAATACTGTGATTAATTTCTTCTTAATCATTGTATTGTATCTTTAACCATTTTATGCATCTATGACATATTTTGAGGATAGTAATAAGCCATCCATTCATTCCATTAACTTCTTAAATCCCACACCCGGCAAAACACTCTCAGCTTCACAGTGAAGGCCTTTCCTTATCTTGGTTCTTACGAATAATCCTGCAATAATCGCTCGTGTTGGTGTAGACTTGTCATCAGCACACATTTCTGTCCCTCATATATAGCCTATGGGTTGATTGGGAGAACTTATGGTGATGCTGTGCTTTGTTTGTTGAAGAGTGCACACAACTTTCACCACACTCATCCACATACGATCCAGTGGATTTACCTTATCTGTGTATCAGCCCTTGTCAGCTCTTGTTTCTGACTACTAGTTATTCTAAGTTATGTGGTAGACAGTTCCATGTGCATGAAATCTGTGACTCAATAACAATTCAAAACATGGAAATTCTTTACATATCTACAAACTACAGAAGTGTTGTTTATAAAAATGCCTATCAAGTACTTCTATTTGACTATTTTTTTCTTGTGACTGAGTTATCTACATATGTGCATATTGGCTCATGATCATATTTACCCTGTGTGAATATTTTCAAACTTCCAATATGAAGTGGTCAGCCCTGAAAACCTATATAAGTAACACTGAGAAAAGTGAGCAGGTTGAATGTATATTTATACATAAGTGTGAGAGAGCGTGTATGTGTGTGTTTGTGTAAATAGCTATTAGAGAGAAGGAAGCTAAGAATTTGGGAGTACGTGTTTGGGGAGACTAAGTGTATGTCTCTACTTTTCTTTTTTGATTTATTTTAATGAATCTAATATTGATTTATAGTACCTATTATTCTTAGTTTGTTTATTGTTCCTAATTTCTTGTGTAATCTTTTTTTATTATATATATGTACATATATATATATATGTCATATTTATATCATCTGAAGTGATAAATTGGTTTCAATTTTCCCATTTGGATGACTTTTATTTTCTCTTTGTGATTGATGTTGTTGCTAGTATCAAGTACCATCTTGACTCAGCTTGTTCAAGGTAGGACAATTAAGATGTTCTCTTAATATAAAGACTTACGACTCAACTCTATATCATTTCTATGTCACTATAAAAAGGAAACAAATAGACAAAATAAAGGGAGTTAAAGAGTAAAAAAAGAAGAAACACATATTTTAGCATGCTGAAAAAGTAAACACTAATAGCTTATTATATATGAAATAAGAGTGTAAATTCTCCAAATATAGGTGTTTTTGAAATTCCCATTGGCAATTCTCCTCATCACTGCCACCATCTGTGAGTCAACTTTGTCAGGAAAAGGACCTAATGACTTGGATAGTATTCTATTTTTTAATTGATTTATTAGGTCACAGTGTGTGCAAAGATCTCAGGAATGTCTCCTTCCTCAGAGAGGATGAGGACTTGAACCACAGCATCATATTGCCTGAAAAAGTTTTCCTCTACCACCTTCTCTAGCTGGGCTAGGATCTTATCTAATAATTACACTGCTCATGAATATGCAAATCATTTGAGTCTATGGTGGTAAATACAGGGATGTCCACATCAGCAACAACATATGATCAGTGTCCTCTCCACAGTCACTGAGCACACAGGTCCTCACCATGGGATGGAGCTGGATCATCCTCTTCCTGGTGACAGTAGCTACTGGTAAGGGCTCCAAGTTCCAGGCTTGAGGAGGGGCCATGCACTCAGGTGACAGTGACATCCACTCTGCCTTTCTCTCCACAGGTGTCCACTCCCAGGTCCAGCTGGAGCAGTCTGGGGCTGAGCTGGTGAAGCCTGGGTCCTCAGTGAAGCTGTCCTGCAAGACTTCAGGATACACCTTCACTAGTTACTATATGCACTGGGTGAAGCAGAAGCCTGGACAGGGCCTGGAATGGATTGGGTATATTTATCCTGGAAATGGTGATACTGCATACAATCAGAAGTTCCAGGGCAAGGCCACACTGACTGCAGACAAATCCTCCAGCACAGCCTACATGGAGCTCAGGAGCCTGACATCTGAGGACTCTGCAGTCTATTACTGTGCAAGACACACAGTGTTGCAACCACATCCTGAGTGTGTCAGAAACCCTGGAGGAGCAGGAAGCTGCTCTGGGACTGAGATAACAGAGAAGATCAGCCTGGGTACTTACTCAGAAATATTAAATCTGAGTGTCTCTTTGACTGTCTCATCCTCATAGTACTATAGTGCCTTTGTTCCAAAGCAAAGAATATGAGAGAATTAAGTGATTTTGATTCAAGGTGCCCTCTACAAAGCACCATGTTTGATCACAACTCCATTGATATGCTTCTTTAATGAAATAAAAATAAAGACAAGCTGCATCAGTTCATTATGATATAAATATCCTTTAACTCTAAGGGATTGAACCTTTTGCTGGTATACCTGGGAATAAACTATTATATGAATTTTAACAGCAAAATACAAATAAACAATATAAGGAAAAAGAAAAATCCTTTTCAAAATTAAGTTTGAAGTACCAGCTATCACACCAAATACTTTGCTTGTTGTGGTCCCCATAGATTTGAGGAGAATCACTTTTCCTTTCCTTATAAATCTAATTTTAGACATTTATATATAGGTAAGTCTAATTTTATTGTGTTGAGTAGATGCAATCAGATTTCTTACTGTTTAATTGTCAGGATGTAGCTGAATGTCATGTGGTAGGGTACTCAGGGTGTGGAATTTGCTACTTTGGGCTCCTGCAGGAAGCAATGTGGCCAGAGCAGTGGGATTCAATGCTGAGGATGCAAGAGAACCATTCATGTCATCAGGAGCCCTGTGTATTCATTCTCCTATTTCCTGAAATCGGATTGCCCCAACTCACTGGGCAGTCAACGTCAAACTGAGAGACACCTAGGAGAATCGAAGGGCGAGGGAGGAGAACAACAACAGCAAGTCCATGTTATGACCAAGCTGTCAAACTTTATTTTCTCAGGGGAGGCTTAGATAGGACCATGGGCAGGATGTGAACGGAGGTTTTCAAGTGGGCAGGGTGAAAGCGTCAGTAGAAAGAATGCTCTGAAGTCATCTTTGACTGGCTGTAAAACTGCAGCAGGAGGAATATCCTGAGCTATTTTTTAATTGGTTGTAAAACCACAAGCCTGTATCTAGGAATGTTCTGCTAAGCATTCTGCTTACTTCTTAAAAGGCAGTAATTTTCTATCTCAGAGGCCTGAGTTAGTGAGGATGGTGATGATCCCCAACAGGATTATCTTGGACACATATTCTAGGCTGAAATTGATTGATATTCACTGGATGATGGGAAATGTCATTCTGTATATATGTCTTTCTCATTGGTTAATGAATAAAGCCCTGTTGGCCAATAGGAAAGCAAGATAGGCGGGACTAGGAGACTAGGAGGAGAGAGGAAGTAGTAGGGAGGAGTCAAGATGGAGGATGGAGAGAGAAGAAAGCTAGCCCCTCTCTTGGGTAAGATAAGACCATGTGGAAGTACTTAGATTAATAGAAATGGGTTAATATTTAAGACAGAGATAGCAGATAAGAAACTAGTAACTGGCCAACAAAATTATATCTAATACAGCGTAGGGTGGGATGGCTGTGGGACAAGACTGGCAGGAAAAACCTTACTCTTAACATCTGGACATTGGTGTATGGTGCACAATGCCCTTCCCTCCCCACAATATTTCTGTTCTTGTAGGCAGTAAAAACCACTGACGACTTCTCTTGTTTTTGCTCTATTATAACTTTGACTTGTCTAAACCACATCATTTCTGTCTATGAATGCTTTTGTTTATTTTTGTTTTGTTTTTTACTTATGACAATGCACATATAGTCACTGAATATCAAGAACAGAAATAATTCTGTCTTGATATCATGGCAACGATCTGGTATTTACATTAAGACAACAGTAACATAAACAAGATAAAAGTGGTATTCTCTGGCTTAAACATTTTTAACTCACATAAAGTTAACAAGCTGTCTAAACCAAACCCTGTGCTAGCAAATCCAATTTGTTTCCCATCTGATTTTTTTCCTCTTCCATACATGAACACCCTCAGGTTGAGAGTTGATTGGGATGTCTGTTTTCCTGCCAGTGTATTTATTTTCCTCCTAGAATTTCTTCTCTAAATTCATCATTGTCATTCCTTATTCTCTGGGCATTTTCCAGCAGATCACATGATAATCAGCAAGTGTCTACTGTATCAAGTAAAAGTGGACATAATTTCCTTGTCCTACAAGGCATAGTTCCCTCCTGCTGTAGCCTGTGCAAGGTGAAGTCATGAACTATCTTGGTCAGGATGGATAACAGTGTTCTCTTATTTGTGAATTCTGCCAACCATCAACACAATGACTAAGAGTGGTATAAATGTTGGGTTGCCATTGAATTTGAACTGGTTGCATGCATGCAAGGTTCATAGGGCTGATTTCTGTGGGGGCAGACTGGATCATTCAAGAATAGGCAAGTCTTCCATCCACCACAGAACTCCATCCCTTGGATGTCCTGATGCATCCCAGTCACACGAAATTCTTAGGTAAACTTTTCTGACCTGTACAGGATAGCTGAGATAGAATAAATCTGTCTAAGCATTTGGGAGCAATCCCTACATGAAAGTGAGAATCACCAATTGGAGACAGTATTCTCTCAGCTTTTACAATGAGGGACAAAGTCCAATATTACATCAAGTTCACATGATGACAACATTGCTAGATATGGTTGTTGTGAGACAGTAAAAGGGAAAACCAAGAACATTAGTCATGCAGAGCCTCTGGAGTAAGTGCAGAGAGGACAACAAGGGTGTTTCCTGTCTCTACTCAGAGTTTATTTCTCTGTTAACCACATGTAAGGCCTAGGAGACCATCTCCTATAGCTGTTAGAACCCTACACTAGAAGTATACAAAATCAGTTAGTTCCTAGAATCTATGTCACTCTCCTGGGAATGCTACAATAACATAAATGACCCAGTTCAAAGACTCTCAATCACCATGAAGACATCTTATCTCAAAGTGGAATAAATTTCTCTAGTGCCAAACTAGGACCTTTGTGGGTGGACGGCATGTGTGTTTTCTAGATCAGGAAGGACAAGTGTACATGTAATCCAGAGGCTATCTCCAATTATAACATCTTTCAAATGAAAAATGAGATTTCTGTAAGGGAGTCTAACCAAAAAAAAAATATTCCTATGCATGGGCTGAGGTTATCAGCGGATGTCATCAGGAATCCAATCCAAATGCATTTGGGAGGCTCAGTGTCTCATGACATCACATGGCTTTATTGCCATTATATATATTTATTTGTTTATCTCTTATTTTATCTTACAATTCTTCTGCTTATATAATACAGTTTCTAATTCTGTGTTTTTATTTGATTCCTGAGTATGTAATCAGGAGGTCTCTGCATCCATACCTCTTTCCTGTGCCTTTACTTGGGCTCTTTTCCTTCAGCTTTTCTATTGTTTTGATAGTTTTGTCCTGTTCCTGTGTTAGTTTTTAATTTATTTTAATTTATTGTATCTTATTCACTAGAAGGCTGTTTGTTTTCAAAAGACAGTAAGTTGTTGTATATTGATGTGAAGGACTTGGGAGTTGAGGAGGGAGAAGGAAGTATGGTATACATCTGCTCTATCAGCATGAGTTTCCTCTACATTCCACAGACTGGATGGAGCAAGAAGGAGGTGTGGACCCTGTGCTACCACAACATGACAGCATGCAAACTTTTGGGGACTCCATCACGTGTGTAGAAAAGAAAAGAAATACTTGAGCAGTGTGGGCTTCACAAAGAAGAACTCAGGAACCCATGTGTAAAAAGGATGTTAGCAGTGAGACCTTAAAAATACAGGAGCAGCAACTATATTCATAGCAATGTTCCTAGAAGCCATAATTTGTAAACAACCTAGATGCCCCTCAACCGAAGAATGGATAAAGAAAATGTGGTATATATCCCCAGTGAGTGCTACTCCGTGCTAAGAAACAATGACATCTTAAAATTTGGAGGCAAATGGACAGAACATAGAAAAGAAAACATCCTAAACATTCTGAGTGAGATAACCCAGACCCTGAAAGACAAATATAATATGTACTAACTCATCATTGGATACCACAGGTAGCAAATATACCCAATCTACAATCACAACCCCAGAGGAGCTTGAACCCTCTTACAAAGCAGATGAAATCAGATGTAGAGATCCACAACTAACCATTGGGCCAAGCTCCTAGAGTACAATCAAAGTGAGAGAGGAGCGATAATATGAACAAAGGAGTCAAGACCATGATGGGGAAACCCACAGAATCAGCTGACCCGAGCTAGTAAAAGATCAGTGAGTCTGGTCTGATAAATGGGGATCCTGCATAAGGAGGATATAGATTCCATTAATACAGGTAACAGTTGATGGGAGATGCAATTATGTATATATATTTCTCATACTGGTTAATAATAAAGCACTGTTGGCCAATAGGAAAGGAAGATAGGAGGGACTAGGAGACAAGGAGGAAAGAGGAAGTAGTAAGGAGGAGCCAAGATGGAGAGTCTGGAGAAAGTAGTATGCCGCCGGCTCCCCGGTAAGAGAAATACATAGATCAGCAGAAATGGGTTAATAATTAAAGGCAGAGCTAGCCGATAAGAAACAAGTAACCGGGCCAACAGCATTGTATCAAATACAGAGTCTCTGTGTGTTAATTGGGGCTGGCGCAGCAGCAGGACAAGACGGAAAAAACAGTACACCTTACAAATGGCGCCCACGTGGCTACTAAGAACTGACACTTAAAATTTAACAAAAGGTTAAAAAAGGGTTGTAAAAACAAAAAAACAGAGACAATCAAGGTTTCTTGGTAACAACATTTTTCTCGGTTGGACTCTAACTTGCTAGAGACAAGCAGATATTCGCGCGGCTCCTTTAAGGAAAGGTTCCTGACTCAACATAAACGACAAAAAACCACACAGCTTTTAAATAACTCTACTAACAATTTATTGGTGTGTATGAGAGATCACAATGGTAGTGACCACATCTCCAAGCCGGCAGCATGCTTTCTGGGTGGCAGCGCAGACCAAGGCGGTGAGCACAGCTTTCTGTGGTGGCAGGTAAAAGTACCCGCCACCATCTTTGGTAAACCGGGGCAGAAACAAAGACTTTCATTTTAACAATGTTGTTGTTTAACAGATAAAGATTCATGGCCAGAAAAAGATAAAGATTTACAGTAGAGACAGATTCACATTAAGAAAAGGTGCTAAAAGTTTACAGTGTGTTTTAAAAAAATACATAGGCTTGGGAGAGAAAAATAAAATGGTTTTAAATAGACAAAGAAGAACTAGGTGTTGTAGCACACGCCTTTAATCCCAGCACTATGGAGACAGAGGCAAGCAGATCTCTGTGATTTGCAAAGTAAACCTGGTATGCAGAGTAAATTCCAGGACAGATAAGAGTTACACAGTAAAATCCTATGTCAAAAAATAAAAAAATAAAAATAAAATAAACAGAGTAATAATAAAGCCACGTAAAGATAAAAAACTCAGAGAGAATCTGGTTACTGTATGCTATTGTGTTGTCTCTACATTGTTTGACTGCTGAGAAAATAACAACAACTGATAAAGGAAATGCTGCTACATTAATTCAATTTATATATTTTAAAAATGCTTTGACTCCAACATTTAAGTTCAAGGACAAGTTACTGGGAAAAGGATTTCTATTTTTGTTTCCACAAAAAATAAAAAACTGTGGATTCCTTCTAGACTAATATGGTTTGAGCAAGCCAGACCGCCTAAAACAGAGTACCAGGTGATCCTACATTCAAAATAGCTAAACAAAGCAGCCTTACAGACTACAGCCAAGATTTCTGTGTCTTCTCATGATCCCCCATGACAGCGCCCCCTGTCAACAAAAAGTAGTTTAAAAAGAACGACGCCCAAATTCCCAAATATTGTTTATAAATGTTTGTTTTCATTTAAATGGACTTGATTATAAATGGTTAATGACCACAGCCAGTTCTTTTTAAAGGTAAAAAGGGAATTATGGTATAGATATGAATACTTTGTTTTGGAATGGATTTTCATTTACTGATACAAATTTAAGTTCAATTTTGTCATATGTATATTTCTCTTCTTGTTTAGGTATTGTGTTTATATAGCTCAGTTAGAAATGTAATGTATAATTTTGTGCAGATTATTTATAGTTACCTATAATAGTCAAAACTTATAGTTTAGTTAGGTTTTCTAGATATATAGAGATGTATTTGAGATGGATAGGCATTCTTCAAACCTTTCAAAGACCTACAGAATATGGCATTTAAAATGGTTTAGGGTTTTTCTTGACAGTGAGACATAATTGCTCTTAGCAATACCACCTGCACCAAAAAGGAAGATGGAAGATGGACATCGAAGAAATGCATTATGAAGTTTGCTTTCAATATGGCAAGACTAACCATATGGACAAGATACTGCTCTTGTCTGGACTGTTTGACTTTGTGCTGTATAAACTGGACATGCAGGACCCACAGAAAAGTGACTACTGATTCAAGATGAACATTGCTACAGAGTTCCTGCTTCATGGAAGAGTCTGCGAGACAGTATGCAGGACACAGAGAAAAGTGACTAACAAACTGCCAATACAAAAAGACAGTTTAAAGTCTCCTGCATTGCTGAAGAGTCTGCCAGACACACTATGGCCTATGGGCTGAAGATGGAAGATTACAGAAGAACTTCGGGTGACCAAGCAGTGAGTTGTCTCTGTCATTTCTAGAGCTTATATATTATCCTTCTGTGGTCTTTGAAAGAGTTGAAGACAGATAGTAATGGTTATAGTTTTCCTTAGTTAGGTTTAAAGATAAGTTACATATAGGACTTTAGATTCACAAATATAGGATAGATGATAGAATAGTTTCTTTTAGTCTTGCTAAATGTTAATGGACTAAATATTGTTAGCTGTGATTCTTATTTGATAACTGATGTGTTATATATTTTGCTATGTTAAGGTTAAAACACTTCTTTTTATTTAAACAGAAAAGAGGAGATGATGGGAGATGCAATTATGTATATATGTTTCTCATACTGGTTAATAATAAAGCACTGTTGGCCAATAGGAAAGGAAGATAGGAGGGACTAGGAGACAAGGAGGAAATAGGAAGTAGTAAGGAGGAGCCAAGATGGAGAGTCTGGAGAAAGCAGTATGCCGCCGGCTCCCCGGTAAGAGAAATACATAGATCAGCACAAATGGGTTAATAATTAACACAGAGCTAGCCAATAAGAAACTAGTAACGGGCCAACAGAATTATATCTAATACAGAGTCTCTGTGTATTATTTGGGGCTGGCGGCGTGGCAGTGGGACTAGACCGGCAGCGGCAGGCGGAAAAACCGTACTCCTTACAAACAGTGATGAGCTGAGACAATTTATGAAGCCACTGGCTGTGGGTCCAAGATCTAACACTAATGCACAAACTGACTTAGTGGAGCCCATTCTATATGGAGAGATGCCTTGCACAGCCTAGACACAGGGATGTGGGTGTTGACAGGTGCTCGGACCTGCCTCAAGGAGATGATGAGCTAGACCTAGTAGACTTCCTGGGGGGGGGGCGTCTTACACTCTCCAAGGAATAGAAGGGAGATGGGAGATGAGGCGCAGTTGGAAGAGGGGTAGGTGCAACTGGAATTGGAATGGAAAAAATAAGTCGACAAATCTAAAATAAATAAATAAAATGTTAAGAAGTAAGTGAGTTTAGAAAAAGCAACAACAACAACAAAAACATTTACAGGAACACAAGAATTTGCTGGGGTAATTGGGCTAGTGAGTGAAGGTGTTTCCTGTGATCCCTGTAGCCCCCAGGCTCTCTTATTTCAGACCCACACTGGAGGAAGTCAGAGGCAATGATGTCCATATTGTAATAAGGAAATGGTGTGGTATTCACCCTCCCTGTTTAAAATGTCTAGGCTCACTCCTCACATGCAAATTCATCTTCTGGCTCTAAGTTAAATCCCCTCCTGAGCTGTGGGAGCTCACATCTCTCTCACAGGAGGCTGACCGCTGAGAAATCGGGGTGTAGCCTAGAAGATGAGACTCCTGGGTCTTCTGTACCTGGTGACTGCCCTTCCTGGTGAGTGTGACCATTTCACACATGTGTCCATGAGGGGTTATTATACCATGTGATTGACTGAACTGACTCTTCTTGTCTGCAGCTGTCCTGTCCCAGATCCAGCTTCAGGAGTCAGGACCTGGCCTGGTGAAGCCCTCACAATCGCTGTCCCTCACTTGCTCTGTCACTGGTTACTCCATCTCCAATGATTACTACTGGAACTGGATCAGGCAGTTCCCAGGGAAGAAGCTGGAGTGGATGGGGTACATAAGTTATAGTGGTAGCACTTACTACAACCCATCCCTCCAGAGCCGCATCTCCATCACCAGGGATACATCCAAGAACCAGTTCTTCCTGCAGCTGAACTCTGTGACCTCTGAGGACACAGCCACTTATTACTGTGCAAGAGACACAGTGAAGCAAGTTCATCATGAGCTCAGACACAAACTGCCCTGCAGTGGAGCTCTGCGCCAGCAGGGGGCGGTCAGCCATAACCAAGCCCAGGTACTTTAAGTCTCTTGATTTGGAAATAAAAATATCTGGTTTCCTCTGACTTTGATTCCCACTCCCTAAGCACAGAGAAGACAGGAGGTCTTTTCTCTCTCTGATACTGAAATGCTGTTCTTTTGAGGAGTCACATTTATTTGTTTCTAACTATGAGTCTCAAGACAGGGTGCACAGTAATATTTCTTGTCTTGTTGATTGCGTATCTAGCCCATACCAGGTGAGCCTACTCGCTGGTCTTAGGAAAAAAAAATTTTTTTTTAATGAAATCAACCTTTTGAAAGTCAGATGACCTCGGCATTGCACTAGTTGTCCCATTTAAAAAAAAATTAATTCTATAATCGATTTTCCATTCTTCCTACCCTCAGATATATCTGCCTATCATAGCTCTTCCTAGAGCATTGAGAAGAAGCAGTTGTTGCTATTTCTAAGGAATGTGCCACAGACTGAATGGGGCCCAGACATCACTGCTGCTGTATTACCTACCCCATATGGCGTGACAGGGATTTCCTGAGGTCAATTGTACATGTTTGATTACAAAGATTCTGCTGTGAGGTTGTTACTCAGTCTTAACTATTGAATATATTGTACAAACAGTACTTTAATATATGCATTGTGATTAAAACCATCACATTAAACAAACCCTATTGTTTACATTGACAATTGATATTTTTAAAAATGTGTCAAAAAGAAGCAGGTACCATACTATGGACTATTAGAGACGCAGTTTGTATTTGGGAAGTGAACTCCAGCATCAGTACTGTTGGGATACCTCCAATAGCCAAGTTTTCTTAAATGAACCATCTGCCATGACTTACGGTGCCAGAGACATGGAAGTAGACTTCAGTGCGAAGTCAGACAGAAGCCATCCTACACAGGATCTCAGGAACAACAGAAACCCTTTAGAACTGCTGAGGCTACTCAGAAATACTAGATGGTCCTCGGATGATGAGCAGTTCTGAATTAACACCATGTGTTTCCTTGTTAAGTGTATGCAAGTTTACATTTTAGAATAAGTATTTTCTGCTTCCCATTCAAATAATATTCTGGGACCCTTGGCCATGTCGTACTCTATCACATTTACTACCTGTTGCCATTCAACTAAGCATATTATTGTTTCCCCATTGAGCAACTAAGGTATTCATTTGTAACCTGCTGTCAAATGGAATCAAAACAAAAATAAAACTATCCTTGATTTTCCACAAGGTCTGTAACTTTATACTTGGTGGCAATAGGTTGTGGTGGAAATCATAGGGAAATTGAAATAATCTGAAAACTGTTCTATTTATTACCCATCATGATGAGTAGACTCCAGATGATCAATGAATGAATGTTATTACCTCACATAGATGGGAAAGCAAACTGTCTACTTTGTCAGCATCCAATGTGTTAATGCTCCAATCGGGTACAGATTATTCACATTTTCACACAACCCATATTGGAAATTTGCATCTTGTAAGGATTAATTTACAACCAATGTCCCATGTAATGAATGATCCATTTGGAGATGTGATGGGAGATGTCATTCTGTATATGTTTCTCATACTGGTTAATAATAAAGCACTGTTGGCCAATAGGAAAGGAAGATAGGAGGGACTAGGAGACAAGGAGGAAATAGGAAGTAGGAAGGAGGAATCAAGATGGAAAGTCAGGAGAGAGCTGGACGCCAGCCGCCTCCCCGGTAAGAGAAGGCCATGTGAAGATACATAGATCAGCAGAAATGGGTTAATAATTAAAGGCAGAGCTAGCTGATAAGAAACAAGTAACCGGGCCAACAACATTGTATCAAATACAGAGTCTCTGTGTATTATTTGGGGCTGGCTCAACAGCAGGACAATACCAGGCAGCGGGCAGAAAAACCAAACTCGTTACAGAGATGTTTCTGACATCTCATCTTGCGAATTCTGAGCGACCATTGTGCACATGCCAGACGACGTTGTCTAAGGTCTCTGCTCTATCCCCTTCCATTGGCAACAGAGTTGCCTGTCCCAGTTTTCTCTTTTTGCTGCTGTTTCCTTGTTCACATATCCTGCGTGCTCACTGCTGTGAACTCTATGATGCCGCTGAAGGTAGCAAAGCTGGAGTGTTTACATGAGAGTTAGAGAAGGACCAATGGGAAACGTTATGGTTGGTGTTGGTTCAGGGTTAAGGATTTCATGTTTCAGGAATCTGGAAAAGGAAAAGTAAGTGTACTTTCCAGGCCTGTGCCTTCTCTGGATGCTACTATAGAGACCTCAGCTATGTGTAAAGAAGTTTTGATGAACAAACAGACTACAGAATGTGGGATTACTGACATTAAGACAAACACAATTTATTGAGCATCACGGGGTGAAGGTGAAAACCAAGGGATCTACTGTCTGTTTCCTAATGACAGGGTGAGGTCAGCCCACGTGGCTGACAGTGACATCTGATGACCACAGTGACCATGTAGGTTGGGCAGACTCTGGACACCAAGAGTCTGTGGATTAACTCCTCAGTATCCCCAGCTATACTGAGGAAAAGAGATAATGTCATGAGCAATAGTTGATGAATGTGAAGTGACCTGCCTCTGCTTTGATTTGGGGAAATAATTCTTCAACAACCATATGAGTCCAGTTGACACAAACCTTGTTACCACAAGTCCTTACTCAGCACTCCAGAGTCTCTTGATTAAGGGCATACTGAAGCGGTGACCAGTTTATTGTGAGCGATGAGACTTTTTATAGTCTTATCAGAAACAGACTATAAAAGCAGGTACTAGGATCATTACATTGGTATAAACCATGAAACAGTGACACTGCAATTATATGGGTATAACATTTTAATGTCGAAGCAGTTTGTCCATACAAGATCCTATATGCTTCACAGACTTCTAGGGACATTGAGAAACAGAGGTAGCCTGAAACCTTCACCTCCTGAGGAAGGGACTTGGTTTTCTAGGGACTGAAAATCACACAGTTCTCCAGGAGCCACGAACTCTACCCTGAATCCCTGACTGTGAGCTGTGCCTCTCAAGGCAGCTGAACTACACCAACTGCATGATTCCCTGAAATATGTTAAGAGTCTGGTGAAAACAAGATGTTGTTTTTCCTAGACAGTTATTCATCATGCACTAATTCTTTGTGGTAAGTAACTCTGTGGACCAGTGTGTACTGTGGACATGAACACAAATGTCTGCAGGGAGACCGTGGTGTTAAGAAGAATACGAATAACAATAGACACACTGAAGGACAGCCTCTGGCATATCCATTCATGGTCTCCAGAAAACAAGGGAGCTTTATCTCAGCAGCTGAGCTCTGTGAGCACTGAAGTAGCATGGGTATGTTACTGTCCAAGAGAGACACTGAAACTTCAGGGTCCTGACACACCAATCAGCAGAGGAGTTCAGGACCAGCAGGGGGCGCTGTGGAGCCACGAATCAACAGGACAGACCTGAGAATAGGAGAGGGGACCCCATAGCCTCTGTGTATTGCTTTGAAAAGTCTGTTACCTGAACAACACATATAGCAGTTGATATGTGAAGTCTCCAATATTCACTGTAAAACTCTTCATTAAATATTGTATGCTTAAATTTTTTAATAAACATTTTTACTTTAAATATTAGAAAATGTCTTTTCATATAATATTTTCGTATCATAATTTCACTGCCCAGTTCCTCCCTGATCTTTAGTATCTCCTTACCATTCTACTCCACATCCTTTCTTTATCTCTATGGAAAGGAAAGGATAAATCACCAGATACACACTCTCTCATTCTCTCTCTGTCTCTGACTGTCTCTGTCTCTCTCTCTCTCACACACACCTACACACACACACACACACACACACACACACACACACACACACACAGCAAACACACAGGTGGAAAAGCAAATATTGTTTGTTCATGAGAGAAGAATAAAAATTCTCCTAATTTAGGAGCTTTTCAAATATTCAGTCACAATCACCACCCCCACCTGAAACCCATTTTGTCACCAATAGGGCCAAATGTCTCAGGTTTGGATTCTATTTGCATTTTGAGAGGTTAGGCTGCGTTATTATACCGACACGGTGTGTAGAGGTATCAGGGATGTCTACTTCTTCAAACAGGATGATTTTAGGACCTCAGCATCCTGTGCCTGACCCAGGTGTTCTCTATCTTCTTCTTCTCCTGCTGGGCTAGGTCCTTATCTAAGCAGAACCCTGATCATGAATATGCAAATCCTGTGAGTCTATGGTGGTAAATACAGGGATGTCCACACCACCAACAACATATGACCAGTGTCCTCTCCACAGTCACTGAGCACACAGGTCCTCACCATGGGATGGAGCTGGATCATCCTCTTCCTGGTGACAGCAGCTACAGGTAAGGGCTCCAAGTTCCAGGCTTGAGGAGGGGCCAATCACTCAGGTGACAGTGACATCTACTCTGCCTTTCTCTCCACAGGTGTCTACTCTCAGGTCAAGCTGGAGCAGTCTGGGGCTGAGCTGGTGAAGCCTGGGTCTTCAGTGAAGTTGTCCTGCAAGACTTCAGGATATAGCTTCACTAGCTATGCTATGCATTGGGTGAAGCAGAAGCCTGGACAGGGCCTGGAATGGATTGGATGGATTTATCCTGGAGATGGTGATACTGACTACAATAAGAAGTTCCAGGGCAAGGCCACATTGACTGCAGACAAATCCTCCAGCACAGCCTACATGGAGCTCAGCAGCCTGACATCTGAGGACTCTGCTGTCTATTACTGTGCAAGAGACACAGTGTTGCAACCACATCCTTAGTGTGTCAGAAACCCTGGAGGAGCAGGAAGCTGCCCTGGGACTGATATAACAGAGAAGATCAGCCTGGAGTTCTTCTATGATTTCCTTTTCTGTCTCTTCCCAGGCCTTTAGGGTGTTTGTAAAATTTCAAGACGGACATCAGGGAATGAATGATGCTGTTTCAGGAAGTACCCTACAGTACAGCATACCTTGGATGGGTCTTTACCAAAGACCCCCTCAGCTGACATGCTTCTTCTTTATTATGTTTCACTATAATATGAATTTGTCTACTGA